AAAGCCTCAAATCTTACAAGATAAAATATGTTACAGGACGAAGAATATATTCGTTTGGCTCTGCTCCGTCCATGTACCCGGATAAATACCCGTGGTATAGAAGAATATCAGCGATAGTACAGTTGTTATGAATTCTGAATTAATACTAAAAAGTAAAGATCTATATTAGGCTCTTGTGATAGATTTTACATAATTGTAGTGTGAAGTTGCTGATACACTGAAGAGCTATTTCAAGGAAAACGCGGCTCCATTCTAGAAAATCGAAATTAACGGCCGTGTGGATTCGTTGCGCTGACCACGCGGCACCCTCTATCCGCTAAAGTTGGCACTAACTTCGCCGATAAGCGGCGGTCGCCCTGTCGATTCATCCTTCTACTGCGAATAATAAATCGCTGATAATTTAGGATTATATTACTTGCTGAAAATGTGTAGCTATGCGTCCTAGCGTCCTATTTGGGGATACACTGTAATGTGAAGCAGTCGTTTGCCTGTTAGTAGGATCAGTTGTATGATCGAACAAAAGCGAATTTGTTGCCGTGTAGAGAAACAAGACAGGTCTGATTTGAACAAATTGCACATCGGTGAAAGAAGGGTTAGAAGAGGTGAAGGGGCGAGATAAAGGAAACGTAAGACATGAAGAAGAGCAAGAATACGAGCTTTGAGAACAGAACGGGTGAGCGAGAGCAGGAGGAACGAATTAAATTCCTCGCAGCCTCGTTGACTCTTACGCTGTTCAGGCAGCCATGTCTGATTTAGCATCCAGTGTTTCCTCTGCCCTCCCCTTACAGTGCGTAAGTCACCCTTTCTAGCCGTGTAAAAGATATATATCGGACATGAGAGTGAGAGGAACTCCCTCCCAAACAAGAATTTCAATTTGCGACGGGAACACGTGACCGGAAACAGCAATGCGGAAGTTGAAGTAGTGCCTCCGATGCTGCTGGATACTGGGTTTGTATGTATATATTTAACAATACCCCATACAGCCACCTGGTGACAGAGTTGGTAAGTTACAGCCTCTCTACTGAGCCCTGATGGTGAAATCCCGAAACCGTGTTTCAATTTATCGTCGTGTACATCTTTGTTTACGCCTGCGCATTGCTTCTATGGATAGGACGACGATTCTGACTTGAAATTGTTTAATGTCACGAAGAGAAATTCATTTTGTTGGATATAGCAATGGAATCTCCCCTGAGATCCATTGCTCACATTGACAAATAATCGCATATATCAGCGTAGAAAAGATGAAATATATTTCTCTCTCTACGTGGAAGTAAGTTTCATTTTTGTTAAATTGCCCTTATTCATGTAAGTCTGAGAAGAGGATACAGTTGAACGAAAAGCACGAAGAAATGTTACGACGACAATCCCCCAGAAAGATTTCATAGAAGTGCAAGACAAAATACAAAGTACTGAATCCAGTCCTTGCTGGTGATTTTAATTGTGGAAAACCAGAATATCGTAAATTTGGTAGAAGCAACGACAGTGTCAAGCCCAGAACAATCTGATATGCAAGCCTGGCTAGTTCACGGTCTACAACATGGTCTAAACAGGTTTTTGTTTCCCCACAAATTCCAACCATAATCTAGCCTGCGAAATAATCGACGAACCTGACAAATAGGCAGAAATATGAGGTCGTGCAGCAACAAATTCTGTTTGAAAGACTTTTCAGTTTCTCACCACGTAGCAATTCGCCTTAGTTTGGATGTAACATCTCAGAGAGATAGAATAAACCTACTGCGCAGAGAATTAAAAAGCTTAACCCAAATTATTTCACCCATTCCCCAAAATCTCTGATACCGTATTTACGCATGTATAGGCCGCACATTTTTTTGCCAAAAATTCAAGAGGAAAACTGGGGTGCGGCTTATATTCGAAATATTCGAAATCACACTTCAGTTAAAAAAAAATTATATTCATAATTATTAATACAGGGTGTTCTACTCCTGAAATAATATTCCAAGAAAATTGTTTTTTTTTCTATAATTTCTATCTGAAAATTGTGCTGCGGCCTATACACGCACGCGGCCTATACGTGCGTAAATACGGTAATCCAAGTTTCTTTTAGTTGTACGTCATTTACACAAGCAAGCTATGCTCTCAGGTTGTGACACCGTGTATTCTTGTAGGAAACACCTACATTTCGATGGAAATCTCTGCCTCCATCTTTATAATTGAAATATGTAGGATAAGGGTAAAGCCAACGTGTTTCTCTGGGCCTTCTGTATCCGATCACAAGTCTGCGCGGTTTCAAAACCCAGTTGCCCATGATCTAAAAATCCCCGCCATGAAAATCGCAGAACTTAAAACTGCACTTCATCAAATTGTCGTTTCTTCGAAAAGTGAAGTACTTTGTACCTCAGCGCGTACTGAGAAGCAGCGGTGACGCTGAGGCTGATATCCTATTTATAATACGAACATGATCCTTCATTTGACAGACCAAATAATATTTGCGTACTGTTATTTTTTTCTTTCTAGTACAAGTTCCTCGTTTTCTAGCAAACTCAATTTGTGTCTTTCCCATGTTCCTGAAGCTATAGAAGATATCTGGATTCAAATTATATGTAACGTACTTTAGAAAAGCCATGATAATCATTGGTTTAAATCTCCGAAATTGTGGAGTCCGCTTTAGAAAATAAATATTTTTTCAACATTCTGAACTCAGGTACGAGAACACAAGGGTTCTTTTGCTCCATAACAGTAGAGAAGAAGAATACAATGCCTTTGGCTCACAAGTATTATGTCAAAAAATTTAACGTAACATCTGATATTAAAAGTATTTCAAAAATTATTTCCAAACTCTTGTTTTGGTAAAAGCCAAAGTCAGTCACTAGATTTTGCCTTCATACTTCGAAACAATATCTTAGCAGTTAGTATTATTTTATATGACAACTGACCGTAGTTGATTGAGGCACTATGTTACAAGCCGGAAGGTCGCGGGATCGAATACCGATGATGTGGAATTTTTCAATTTACCTAATCCTTCCAGCCGCACTATGGCCTTGTGGTCGACTCAGCCTCTAACAGAAGTGAGTACCAAAAATATTCCGGGCCGGCGCGTAAGGCTGACAAATTTACCGCCATCTATGAGTCGATTGTGTAGATAATGTGGGACCCTCAACATCTCACAACCCTATGGGCCTTCACGTCCTGGTACAGGGATAATTTTACTTACTTACCTACTTACTTCACTTAGCTGTGAGTACGCTGATTTTTACTTCCATAGATGACTTTAAGTCAAACTAGTAACCATGATAACATAGATAAAAGCAGATATACAGAAGACAACACTAGACAACAGCGAAAAATTCTAATTATCTCCACAGAACATTCCTTGAAAACACACCAGTTACTCAGCCAGTAAAGAAATTTCGCGCCTCTTCTGGAACCCGAAAATTTATTAACTGTGAATCAAATAAATTCAGACCATAACTTCAGTCACTACTTGCTTTCGATTTTCCAATGTCAACAATTTATTGACATGTAAACCAACTGGATATCCTCTTCCATTCATGCTATTCGCCTAAATTTGTAGTTACGTACATCACATCTCCTTGTGTACTACATCGCATCTTTTTTTCACAATAAACTTATTCCTTATTTCATTCTACTATTCGAATCTTGATTAGTTACTATAGGATTCTGACGATGGTGTATAACACACAGAGATATTGGGTTTTCGGACTTCATCCATAGTCCTGGTTTTTAAGATAACTAAGAGAAAACACGACGTTTCGGAAACTGGATCTGTTTCCGTCCTCAGGCGAGGGAAAACACCTATTCTGTTGGGTCCCTTAGAAAGAGCTAGCCTCAATCACTGGTCCAGTGATTGCGCACATTTCCATCAGACTACGAGATGTCACAGTATGTTTCGCCGTAGTGTTTTCTATATTACTCCGTCCCCTACAGCAGAATTTCCTTTCTTTACTCAGAACGGATGTGACGAAAGCTAAAATCGGAAGTTGACGTATATTATGGCTGCTGAAATATGAACCCCTCATCTTTTCTTCTTTAAGGTCAGACACTCTAGACATCTATGACTTTTTCCTGTTGTTTCTTATGGAAGGTTTTCATAAATCACTTTTCGTAATTCATCATTGAATACAGTGAAGCCATTTTTATGAAGTGGAATAATGAATTTGAAATTGATTTATGGAACTGCATTCAATTTACATGTAGGATGAGAACCAAACGTAGAAATTGCGTGAAAGTATAAATACTGCTTCTGATACTTAATTATGAGATTTCGTCTAATTTCTTTCTAGAGTTTCACTGTGCTTTCAAATAATCGCGTAACGGTTTCATTTGAGAACAGAAATCAGAATGTACATTATAATCTCGTATCATCCAATCTGTAGCAATTTTACATGCTCTTTCTCAACTCAGAGACTGGAATGTCACATCGTCATGCGCTTATTAAATTCGCTTGTCGGCAGCACGCCGGGTAATACAAGAGATTCAATACGAACTACATCAAAGCACACATAGTTTAAGTTTCACGCTTTGCTGGTTAATTCATTGTTTCTCTCGAATGCGCAGTAAAATAATAATCAGATCCATATCAGTCCTTCGCACATTCGTGTCTTCATGTTCTTCATATTGGATTGTTTCAGACTGTGTTTAAAGTAGTACCTAGCCAATAATTTACCTGTATGTGTCTGGAATAGAAACTTCAATGATTCTTTGTTCGGTGACTGAGTATTTTAGTTTCGCGTTTAATTTTAGTAATATATGCCGTATTAGTGCCTTTCTATAGACCACTTTATCGGTAACCTAGTCTGTTATGACATAAACTTGTCTGTGCTAGACCTCTGAGTGCACGCGCACAAAAATCGTGTAGGTTATCCACGGGTTCATAGGATCTGACTTAGAAGGTTAGTGCAAGAAATGTTAGCAGAGACAGCTTTTTCTTTCACCCCAATTGACAGTCCTTTCCCGCCACAATGAGCATTCTTGGACTATACTTGAAACAGAGAAGCAATACTCTACAGAACTGTACTTACCATCATGAGAATCGTAAAGATATATGATCTTCCTCCAACCGTAATACCGCACGACGTCAATGATAGCTTGATGGTAGTCCGGCCTCATGCTAATGGCGTAGTCTAAGAATCCCGATGATGGCGTTAACACCTAAAAGAGAGTAACATGTGCCTGTCAAATTGCTGACGATGAACTTCAGAATGCGAGGTTTTATACATACTGGTACTGGTTTAAATTATTTTGATTAGAGTCTGGTTTTATGTCAGCTTACATGGGTCATCCTGTTCTTAGAAAATTCTGACAGTTCAGCCATTATATCAGTTGGGATAAATAGATCGAGTCAGTTGGGTCAAGCGATAAAGCTTCTAACTTTTATTCGGGAGAGCTGGCTGACTCCTTCTGTTATTTTCCTCACTTCCCCCAGGCGAATACCGGGATAGCATTTTGAAATAGTCAACAGTCCTTTCCTTCCATATCCTTACCAAATCATCATCTCTACTGCTTAACGTTATATGGACTAAGTTACTGACAGCCACGGTACGCGGGTTCAAACCCGGCGGAGGTCGTGGAATTTTTAAGGGCGGAAAATTCAGGGAACAATTTCTCCGGGAGGGACTTTAAGCCGTGTGTCCCGTGTCGTAGATTTACGGCACGTAAAAGAACCTCATGTCTCTAGGAGACCTCTGAGCTAAATTATAGGCCCTTTCCCGCCCAAGTAGTCTCCAATGCCTCTGGTGGATGGGGGAAACATCAATGTACTGGGGACCGACCTCGTTGGCTCTACGGGGGCTGATGGCACGCACCGTTACCGGTATGGTATGGCGACAGTAGAAATTAAAAAGGGGGACGCACAATGGACCAATAACTGGTCTAAGTGCATAGGGAAACCCACCCCCTCTCATAACAAGACGCAAGCAAATATGGCTCCTCCCCCTTTACACATACTGACAGCCTCGTTAAATTAACATAAAAATAAATTACAGTATGAATAACTCAGGATAACGACAATCTATGGGCTTTAATTACAGTATTAAATTATCTTTTCGGCAACGAATCATGCTCGTTCTGTAGCTCACCAAGCCTTCTACACAAAGGGCCGGAAGCTACGTTCACCATTTCAAGTGCCGACTTTCCAAATGACCTCTACACTCCGAGCGGATAGAACGGCACAGCTGCTGACTGCTTCTTTCAGTTTCAGTCTCTGTATTTAAAAGGCAATCTGCAACTCATATTTTGCAGAAAATATAACTGCAGAACTAGTGGTGCCTTAAGAAAACGACGTAATTTCTCAGGCATTGGCGATAATAATAGGAAATGTTTGGAGATACTGACACCCTGAAGCTGAAATGACTGTTTCTCAGGTGGCAATGATAGTGACAAAATATTTATATAATGTCTATAATGTGAGATGTTCATTATGTGCAACAAAAAGAAATTGCAATCTTAAGCAAAAAACAGAAAGAAGTGGCTTTTCGAAAGAACTAACATAAGCCTGAAAGACCGAATATAGTGATAGAGAAACAATTAACATGTCAATTAATTTAAATACTTAATGCAACATGTATATGTAAAGCCATGAATGCGGGGAGTGGATTTATGTAAGTCCGTGGAAAAAATAACACAAAAAAGACTTTTGAAGAAGTAAATATCTTAAATACAATCGGCAGTGCATTTCCCCTCCACAACGAAATATACCATCAGTTTCATCAACCATAAATCCCATTTAAATCCATTTTATTTATTTAAATAACTGTGAGTCTACATGTGCAACCCATGACATTAAACTCATACGCATTTCGCAGTTTGTAGACTCCCACGATCTGGCAATCGGACGCTTCTGCAAAGTTCCCGTAAATAACTATCTTCATACAACAGAATCGTCCGTTATAGGGTGAATATCACTCAGATGACTAAGAAATTTCCTATATTTTCTGGAACGCAGAAGTTCATTGCCATGTTCACAAGAATCTTCCATCAGGCCCTGTAGTAAACAAAATTAATTCAGCCCAGAGCGTAAATATTTTCTTCTATCTACGCCTTGGCCTCCCTATTTCCTTGGGGGCTTTCGAATAAAGCTACGAATATAATCCTTATCTATTTTTAAATGCCACATGTCCAGCCAATCTCATTCTCCTTAACTGCAGATGTTCCAAAATATTTTTCTAATGTTCCGATAAAATATTAATTTTTTAAAGAGTGCTTACTCAAGCAGCTAATAATTAGGGTAAGTATGGGAGAAAAGGTGGCAATAAGATAAGGAAGCAATTTAATTCAGTGAATTATGGGAACTAATTACGTTTCTAATTGAGAATAGTGTAGCAATTCCGTCAGAACACAAGCCCCCCTACTAACTCCCCTTCCCCTCCAACTGATAAAGTGCAACGAGGTGTTTCACATACCAGAACTGTGAATGCAAATGTATCGCCATGTACTGTATCTTGTGTAAGGTATGTAGCAGCACCGATGGAAGCAATTATATGGTCGGTATATAGAGTCTCGTTTCATTCATTGCAAAGGGGCTTTATGATTTGACAAATACACAACATCTATAAAATGTACCTACTCTAATTAACATAAACTAAATACACGTGGTAGAATCAGTTCTTGACGACTAGAGTCTCTCATGTTCTAGTGTTTAAAGAAATTCCGCATTTTTCATAGAATTAAAAATGTTATTACCATGTTCAACAAAGCATAATACTGATCCCTATCATGAGGCAGCTGAATTCAGTCGAGGCCCATAAATCACATTTCCTTAATATCAAGTTTAATATTATCCTACCATCCTCACCTAAACCGTTATTCCGTAGGACAAGCACCTAGAGAAACGCGAAAATTCAAGGGCTGCACAGAACTGCAGAGCTTAAATTTTCAGATATATGCCTAAACAATAGTTCACAAAGAATTTTAAACTTTGTCGTGACCCGAGCGCGGAATGTAAAGGAAATGTTTATATTTCGCGCAATTATATTACAAGAACAAAGATTTAAGATTCGAATCCACACTATTCTGAGACAGATAATGAGAACACAGAATTTTAGGCTAATATAGTATAAGGACATGACACCAATTTACTGAGTTAATACACGTATAGTTGCTAGTGGGACAATGGGACAATATTGAACATGAGCAAGGGAGAACTTGGGTTTATTTTTGTATTAATTTCTTATGATGGGATGAGACTATGTCCAATTTTTAACGTCGTCCACTATTTGGAGTAAGCTATCAGCCCCTGTTGATTTGTGGTGATAAACGTCGAAGAGTCGGTGGAGTGAGAATTAGCAAGGGAAGCTAAAGTACCTGCCCCAGTGCCACTTGTCTACCACAAATCTTACATGATTTGACCTGAGATCGAACCCGGACCGCCGCGGTGGGAAGCCGGCGACTAATTATCTGAGCTATGGTACGACCAAGAACTTGGATTACTTTAAGCACTGTTCCATCATTTGCCCGGAAACTTCTGCGTTATATCACCGTGTAAAATTATAAATGAGTGCCAACGTTTCGAAAGGACTTTCTGCCTGCATACTCAGTATGAAACACAATACAAGAATTCAACCCTGAAAATGTTCCACCTACCAAATTACACGGTGTCATAGCCCAGAAAACCACAATATGGAATTTCAAATGGCCAGACTTACCTTCTCCGGGAACCAGGGCGTCACGAAGGGCATCTTGAAGGTGTTGCTGTAGGAGTGCAGAGTGTCGAATGAGTCGGGGTTCACGGCCCCGAGCATGGAAAATACACCTCTCGAGAACTGCTTGCATACTGCAACAGAAAGCATATAGATTTGCATGGTACCTGGCTTACCCAGTGTGAGTTAGATAGCGTCCCATGGCAGAGTGAGATGCATATTGAAATGTGTGTGTGGTGTGTGGTGTTAGTGCTTGTGTTTGGAGGAATGATTGGGTAGTGCCAAATTTTGACGCCACCCCAGAACCTGTGTCAAAGTTCTTGTAGTACCAGACATAATTTCATTCGCAGTAACCTATCTCTTGGACGAAATGTTCTAGAATATGGAGCAGAAATTCTTAACGTTAGAATGGACGATAGATAAGAGTGAAGGAGGATATGTTGTAACTTGTGTCAGGTGTCAAATGATATACTTGTCAGTTATGTTGTTCGTTAGCGCTATATCAATTGGTGGTGTTATCCAAACTTCAGTGTTCTAATAGTAGGATGAATATGAATGGGATGTGTGAGGGTAATATTCCATGGAATAGTTCTCTAACTTAAATTATATATACGAAAATATACAATGGACAGAATGTTGAGATGAAGCTGAAAAACATAGAGAGTTATCAAATTATTAAGGATCAACACAGTGATTATCTGTGTTAGGGCGGAACTGAAAACATGCGCTTTGCTAGGAGTGTTTTATTATTAGCGAAAATTCTTAAGCACATGGAAAGAAGGGGCTAAAGTATTGATTCTTCATATGCCCTACATTAGTGCTAGCATCCTTTAATATAATATCTGTAAAACAGCAGATTCTTTAATTTCACATCTTTGAATATTATTCATAAAATAATACTTTTAGAATGGAATTTGATTGTGGATCAATATCTCAAATATATTTATTTTTCTTTTCACAAAATGTGAATTATTTTCCACCCGACTTGTAGCTTTCTTAAATTCTTGGATCTTGCTAACTCGCTAACTTCTTGGCACATTGTTCTTCTTGAAAAGCTAATAGTTGCTCAGTAGTTCAATGAAATCTCAATAATTCGAAAATTAATTTCATTATTTAAAGAGTCAATCACCGGTCCATAATAATGAGACAGATGAATCCATTTCACACTTCCATACTCAGGTTCTATAATCCGTCTATTATTGTCCTTCCATCAACTACTAGGTCACCCAAGCGATCTCTTCATCAGGTTTTCCGACTTAACATTTTGTATGAATTTCTCAACTATCCCATGCCCATCAAATCCTTCGTGATTTGGGCTCGGGTCTTGCTTGGTGTATGACATAGTAGGAAACTGAAGTCCTGTACAGAAAATTTCCTCCCTGTTCTGTGATGTGGCTGTTTCATTTTACCTTACTCCAAACAACCGGTCAAAAGCAACGCTAAGAAAAGTTGTTGAAAGTGTCGTTTAGTGCGAGAGAGTAGGAGAGAGGGAGACACTCCGCCCTTTGCAACTTTCTGAAGAAGACGAAAGAAAGTCCATCGTGTTTCATCCCTCTCCTCTCTGAACATTTCCCTTCCCTTGGGACCCCATCAACACTTCTATATCATCCAAGACTCTCACATCGGCGTCCTACTCTTAAGACACTTTTATTTCAAAAGCTACGACAAGGTGAAAAATTATACTCACTGTATTCTTGGCAACATTATTAAACATGAAGGCGAAGAATACGAGGAGGTGACTATTGTTCGCGGCTTCTAAAGTACGAAAGATGGCGGTGGCTCCACGATTGTCGTCATTTTCCTGTCTTCTGGGACTTTTAAGTGATCATCATTTAGCTGACGGCTTTGTGTACAGCGAAGGAAGTCTCATTGTTCTCCGTTTGCAATTACGGCTCGAGGAAGTAACGCTTCTTGTGCTTTGCAGACAGATGGCCGCATTCGATTACTCTCTAAGGCAGCTGAGCACTCTTGTTTGAGACGTGTGTGTTATTCTGATGGCCGTAATTATCCCAATTTCCCTTAATAATACTGGTTGGACTTGAGACAGTGTTTATGAGCGAACTGTTTACGATTACGTGGATTGGGAATGGAGGTAATGTGCTTGACCCCAGTCTGTTTCTACACCCGGGAGCAGTACATTCTGAAGGAAGTGTTCTCAACACAGACCACCTATAGAAATATCCTATCTTATGTCCTGTTCCAATGATAAATTTCTGAGTAATTCCAATAACATAAGGAAAAAATTAAATAAAATAACCATTTTTCCATGAAGAATATGAGGGTTTAGAAGTAAAATTCCACGCATTCTTAATTTTTGTATTATATGGGATGTCTGGTCAGATCCAAAACCCAGCGGGTTTCTTCGTGGGGAAGAGTTCCCGGCATGCACTTGATAAGGGGGCCTGTGGGCCCAAGAGTCTATCTGGACTGGTTGACGAAAACAATTATCTGTGCCCCTTCCAGGAACTGAGTTCCGGAAGTCGCTTATAGTATACTCACTATACTCACAAGGAATGAATGCATAAGTTTAATGACTTTTAAAGCATTTAGCAAATACTTTTAATTAAATATATTTTGGTGTCTTTCATATAAGATTATTGACGGTATACTTACGATCTAAAATGATACTTACTGATCTACACTAACTCCTCCCCAATCATATTTCACTGTACATTTATGTTTTAATATCACATAAAATGTCTTCTCTTCTTCTTCTCGTATGAAATGGTGGGATTTCCTCTCAGAGATCAAGAATCTTCGGGTTCTGCTACCAGAGGTATGAGGGCTGTTATATAGAGATATAGACCTACCCAGTGATAGCCATTTTGAAAGCACCCTTACTATTTCAGAACGCTCTGAATAGAAGTTCATGTAGTCAGATCTTCTACAGTTCTGTAATAAGGAAGCCTGGCGTTTGATGATCATCCGAATTCTCATTGAAGTGCCATAATTTTTCCAGGCACAATATATTGGGTTCCAAGTATCTGTTTCCGGAAATACGCGTATAACGACGGAATCCTTATCGTCGAAGTCTGAATAAAATTTACGATACTTTACCACAATTTCCTTCTCTGTACAGACTCCCGCAGCGTTGTGCTTAAGCATACGGACGTCTTTACTCTACCACAGCAAATAAAGTCATCTAGATTCTGAAGGGTTCTGATGATGCTGTATAACCCTCAGAATTACAGATTTTTTTTTATTTTGTCAACAAGATCACATGACAATATGGAAATCTTAAAATTACTCCTAAACATTGCTGTTCGTGGTTTTGCTTTTTGCCTCAATTTGTTGTATTTAATTGCCACTTCTTTTTCTCTCTTACGCTTAGTTACGTTCATATATTATCAAAAATGTTATTGTACAATTTCCTGTTAACTCCAGCTGACAAATCATGATCCCATGTATTTTATAGCTGTAGTCATACTGACATAAGTTGTCCAGTGATTGAGTTGGGTTCCTTCTAACGGACGTAATATAGTATGCCTCCCTCTTCTTCACCTGAGGACGGAGACGGATCCAGTTTCCGAAACATTATGTTCTTTTGTGTTCCTTAAAACAAGGGACTATGGAAAGAGTCCACAAACCAAGTAATTCCGAATAAAGGGCTGCGCCAAAGCTCAAGCGGTTAGTTGCTGGTTTCCCACCGGGGCTGCCCGGGTTAGATCCCGGGTCTGGTCAAGTGGGATTTGTGGTGGGACAAAGTGGCGCTGGGGCAGGTTTTCTCCTAACACTTCGGTTTCCCCTGCCAATCTTCATTCCACCAATTGCTCCACAATCACCCTCACATATCATCTGAGGCTGGTACAATAGGCAAGAATTTGCCGCAGTGCAAGGGACTTAGTCCCACCCCACTAGCAATAAAAAAAGTCGGAATAAAACTTCTGTTTTCCTGACTTTGAATTATTTGAAATTCTGTACCTTCATATCTTCGTTGTTGTCTTTGAAAATCCCAAATCCAGTGTACGTATACATTATGCTTAATTTTATAAAGGAGAGTCCAATCGATCGGGAATCACTGGAGTAGCTGAAAAAGAAGCAGGACATTCCTCTGAAACACTCGTATATATATCTACCGAACTACACGGTCTCGCATCCCAGTAAGCGGTAATCTTAATATTTACTGCTGTGAGAACCTCACAGCTCGTCAATCAATCCTTTCGACTGGGCACTGATTAGACATAACATAAGACGCTTCAGTGGTCACAAATTGTTCGTATTCAGGAGGAGCTGGGTTCAAGTCGCAACCCAGAAAAAATTATCCGATATTTTTGCGTATTTACCCACTCCCTCTCTTGTAATAACGGGATAGTAATTTGAAATATACTGAAGACAGTCCCGTCCGCACCATTCATTTCAGCTTCATTATTGAGACATCAACTATTTGTTCGACGCTACAGAAGCTAAGCAGTTGATGGAGCCGTTGAATGTACCAAGAATAAATAGATGCACGATTTTGATTTTGCCCTCGTGCGAAATGAACTTCCACAGCCGACGTTCTTGTTTCTAAGAAGAAGACATAAGCACGAATATATTCCGGAAATAATAGGACGCCTCTTCCCACATATTGATTTGTAGCAGGCATATATCTGAAAATGTAGATTTGCATGGAATATTTTCTCCCATCTTTATATTTGTGGATTGGTTTTTGTTTTATTTAGTAATATTTGTGACCGAATACGCATCCCTCAGCGTACTGAAAATGAATGTCCCTGCTGGATATCGTTCTTTTAATTGAATTTTGTACTGTCGTGCAAGTAACTGTTTAGACGCGAAACCGTAAAAATGAGAAAGAGAACATGGAATATTTGGCATCATTCTCACGACATGGTGGAAATTCTGGAAGCCTCACATAAGCTCCATTTATGTTCTACCTATATGTGTGGTTTTACACTAATAAATCACGTATTCTTTCCTGTCCAATTAAAGGCCGCGGCTCGAACCTCAGTCTGACAGTAAAGTAACCCGATTTATGTCTCTCAGATAGCTTGTAATTTGATCACGTTGGATCACGTGACTAAATAAATCCGAGGTTTTGAACCGAATAGTCATTGGGATTGTTTGACTTGTGATTCACGTAATTGCTTAACTGTCGCAATATTTTGGTTGCTTGTCAAATAAAACAGAAGAAACT